TAAAGGCAATGATTTCTTTCGTAATGGTTACGATTGTTTTAGCTCCGTTTTGAACATGTTATCCTCCTATATCTAACGGTGACGTTAGACGTACATTTGCATCTTAATGAGTCAGTGAGAATTCTAATTTGAATAAAAGGCTTAAGCGGCGATGTACAGCATGGAAACTGTATAAAAAAAGGGTATATTGAACAGGCTATTGCTTGTTCCAACACGGTGGTGTTCTGTCGCGTTTACGCCTGCATTTGCTATGGAATCGTGATCTGTTTCAACGGCATTCTTCTCTACTTTCGGTCTAAATCTGGAGTCAGAGTAGAATCTGAAAATTCGTATTTAAAATAGAAAGGCAATGGCATTTTTCAGATGATCTTGCCTTGTTAGAGAAAGTTGAGGAAAGCTAAAGTAAGGAGGTGATTGGCCTCTTGACTAACAAGCAGATTTGCTGGACCCTGACAGAAAAAAGCTCCAACTATTGCCATCGTACCAGAGAGATAAGATGTTCATGTTCCACAGTCGATCTGTACCATAGGATTGCATCAGTGGATAGAATTTTTCCGCATTGAAGCAATCACAGGATACTCGTATAACACCTGATTATACGATTCATCGTGCCGATATTTTTTCCCGAGTACCTTTAGGACAGAAAGCTGCTTGTAACCATATTCAGTAAAATCCGAGGCTGATGTTCTTGCGTACGAATATGTACTTCTGATGGCAGAAAATCAGAAACATAATTGATTCATTTTCGAAATCCGCTGCGCCTTTGCGGTTGCGGGAACAGTTTCCTCAATCCTCCTTTCCTGTGTCACTGATTTGCATTTCTGCTGCTAAATGGATAAACCCAATAGTCCAAAACAAGACAATACCGTGTATTTCATATAATCGAGTCATTTCGAAGGCAATCTCTCTTTAGGCCATTTCCCACGTCATGTTGTAAAGGTAGTTCCCTTGCTAGTGCCTCCTATACCATTTTCATCGTCTGAATTTTTTCGTTTATTCTTTATTATGAACCAGTAGGCAGTGAAGTCCGTGAGACAACCGCGCGAAAATGATGAGGGTTCTCATAACCACTTCCATCACCATCGTAACTGGTGTTGCAATCAGGTGTGTCCCACGATTGATCCCATGAAGGCGTAAGTTACAGTAAGCGTTTCGCGACCGGAGGTGTTTCACTGTCTGAAATAGGTCTGTAAAAAATGACGGAGGTCCACTATCGCACCTTCAGATTAAAGATTTTAGTACGTGGATTCCGACTGGACACAAAGAAGCAACGATGTGGAGCCGGCCGACCTTGTGTTATCGCTGAAAAGCACCCCCTTCGCAACGCCTGCTCCAGCCGAAACTCAAATCCCGAAGCCTCAGTTTCAAATTCCGACCGGCAATCCAAAGATCATAAACCCGCTTTCGAACGTGGACCGTGTATCTTTAGCCACCAACGAGATCCGCCTCGGTGATCATCCTCAAGACGCGGCAGAGGCAGTGAATACTGTGCAGATGCCCCCTGCGTATATCATCGGTCAGTCTGTGCCGAAAGACTACAAAAATCGCGAACCTATGCCCACGATGGTCAACACGAAAGCTTCAAACGATAATCAGTACGAACACCTGCAAATCGTTCACCAGTATAATCCGGAGAACGATTTGTCGATCGAGTCGTACGGTGAGTCAGAAGAATTTCCCGGCATGTCTCTTGCTCCCGACGACCAGCACCTCATGGACGGAGCTGTACCTCATCGACACGTTTCTCTGACTGTCACCAGCAACTCCGACAGCGTCTTTCCGCTGCTGTCTTTGCCAGAGTTCACCGCTGCCGTGAACAGGTTCGTTGACGACGTTGAGAAACTTCTGCCGATAGTAATGTTTTAATTTGAAAAAGTGATTTTCATCCATTTTACCGTTTCAACCGCCATTAGTCTGTGATGACTGTTTCAAATGTCGGTTTATGGCGTTTTTTTTCGATGTCGTCGACGGTGAAATGTTTGTTATTTTAGCTATGTCTCTGTTGCTTTATTACGAAGACTCGTATGTGGCTATTTTAACCGGTTTATTCTTTTTATCATCATTTTTCTAATAAAGTCGTATTTTATACTACATCTCTCGAATTACATTTTTATGGCAATTTAACTACTGAACGATTTCCTATCAAACGGCTTACCCTACCCCAGGATCAGCAGTCTCCCTTAACAAATGAATGATTAGTACTCTGCTGGATTTGTTTGAATAAACAGAGTATCAAAGGATAAGATTAACTACATTCCAGTCGCAAAGTACATACACAGTATATAGTGTATATGTAACGTTCAGAATGTCAATCTGTCCGCATCATCATAAGCTGAAATCAATTTGTAATTCAACCCAAGCACGTCATTACACGATATATCTGGATTATTAGCTACTAGGCTTACTTCTATAGTAAATCTCAGCATTATTGCTTTATTATTTTATTTGACACTGTGACTTTGACGTAGGCTTAAGCTTGAGCATTATTACGCTTCCGTACCATTATGGACGAATTACTACCCTGAACAGTGACATAGTTCATTCCTTGATCAATGCTTGTTTCGTGTTACCGGGGAATTATCTCCACCTATATGGCATACATATACTATGTAGTATGCATCCAGGTACAATCCAGATGAGCATATTGTAAAGTACAGTTGCGCTCACTAGCTATCCAGCCTTCATCACTATTATTTTTATTGTGTGCATTACAAAACCATTTCTGTCTTGCGTTGTAACGTTAATCAGGGGTGCCCTTTGTATGAAATAGTTCCTTTGACGTTAGAGAAAAATCATGATGCATGAGTTCAGGCCGTGTTTACCATATTTATTGAAGTACGTGGTTCTTTCAATGGAACGAAATTCCAAAAGTTTACTGTCTCATTGTCAGCCGATTTCGGTCACCGTTGATCCTTTCAGATCGTTGAGGCATTATTGACAGACAGTGTTTCATACGCTCTTGATCCGGTGCCAGCATTTGAGCTTCGGCAAAATATAAACACAAAGATGGAAACTGAGTTGAACAAGGACATTTCTGGATGGTTCAGCAAAATGCCGCCGATCTTATCGAATTGGCGGTGGATATCTTGCTCATGTTTTCCATAAATAGCAAACACAGGTTTATTGATTGTCTGGAGTAGCTACTCAATACCTCTGGATCGTGTTTACTGGTTGATGGAAAATGTAAAGAGGCGATCGACAGGCGAACCGCAATGGCCAAAGCTGTTCCCTGTGAACTAGCCCTAACAGCTGAGAGTAAAGCAGAGCTGAGTCTGAAGTTTAAGCTCCCTGTGTTCAAGTCAATCTACATCCCGATTCTCATCGACGATCATCAGTCACGGACCCCTACTGAAAAGCTTCAAGTATGGATCACGACTACAAGCGGCTGAAATATGCCTTCTTGGACGAATCACTGGTTTCAGACGTCTGAACATGGTCCGGAGTACAGTTGTACGGTGCAGTTGATGCACAGCCTCTGCTTCTCCAGGTTGAGAAGTGACAGCCTGCGACGGTATTGGCACGTGTTGTGAATGCTTCCAGAAAGGAAGGCACAGCAACTACTACTTGCCAAACTGACCGGCAGAAGACCCAGCAGGCGGCTTCGATTATCCATGGGCAAATGCACTGAAGAAGTGTCTGTTCTAGGCCCCGTTGTTTTCAGCCGAAGTTCATCGATGCCGCAGAATCAGAAGCGATGGAAGCACTATTTGACGTGTCTGCCTCTGCGACGACCCGAAAGGACAAGCGGACACAGAAAATAAATTTATTAACTACGTGTGGAAATTAAATTTAAAAAAATAGCAGTAAAAATTGGAAGAAGCGAAAGCATCGTATGTATCCACATCCGTTTCCGCTTTTGGATGTGCAGTCCCATAAGTGTTTTTCTGTCCAATTGCCGTATCTTTCATTTTTTCATGTAATATGTTATCAAGTTATAGCACGTCCAGATGTTTGTAGAACTGCCCTTCTTCCAAGCTGTTCCTCTTACTAGTCAGTAACGTCATTCGTCTAAACCGAATTCCACCCTGAATATCATCCGGAAAAAGATTCATGTATCTTATATCAAATTCTTATTATTATTCTTGCTAGTATAATAATATTTGTATACTGATTACTGTGATAAATGACGCTGAAACGCATGGACAGTTAAAGTAAATTACTTTAATTAATCGTTCGTTTTAATTGTTTAAGCGGAAATCATTTTCTCATTAAGGTGATCCGTTTCACCTAGCAGCTCTTGCATGACTGATCACAGACCGCGTTTCGTTGCTTTACCGAGTGGAACAGCCTGAGACTTTGCATCGGCTCTCGTTGAACGCAGAATTAATTCATCGTCGCCCATTTCGTCCAAATGAATGCAAGCGAGGTTGGCTTGATTGATTTTCGCAAATGCATGGACAATCGTCCGACAAGTTAGTTTCGTTTGTCAAGTGGTGGCGGCGGTGGTCATCGTTCGTGGTCCAAATTTCAAGCCAGCCATTCTTGTTTCTGAACTTTTTCTCGCAGTCGTCCTTGGTGCTATTCACCGGGGCAAAGCAAATCACAGAAATAGCCTTGATGCTAGCAGATGAACAACTGGCGCCATAATTAGGTTTCTGTTCAGCGGTGGGAGTTCATTATACACAACGCAGTTGGCTTCCAAGCTCGGCTGAACAGACAACACTGGGCGATTGACGCCTAAATTTCGGTTCGTCGAAAACAACCCTACTGAGAAGATAAATCATATAAGCATAATAGTGTCCATCTGGCATTTTTATGAAAATTCCGTCGTGAAATTCAGCTCCCTGGTGACCGGGTGGTTGACCAACACCAAGCATGGCGGACCCAATATCGCTTAAAAATATGTTCTTTGCGGAGACGTGAAAAATGGCATCATGTTATTCGATTTATTTGCTGTCCCCCTGTAGCCGTAGTCGCAGAGCTTAAATGAGGATGGGATGATGCAGATACAGAAGACAGCCGTAAATGCAACCACGCGTGCACGAAGCTCTATCACATGCGCTGGTGTTTGTGAAGCAATGTGGTGCGTGTTTGTTTTCCGATGCTTTGGCTTGTTATGATGACGCTGCAGATCAGGTTGGCTCCTTAGTGGGGTTGCCATGATCGGGGTCAGAAAACTAATCACGCTGAACACAACGATCCGACTTATCCTTCGCAAAATGCGCTCATTTGGTGCAGATCTAGAGTCATGTCGACGATGAGTGTTTTCACTCATTTTCAGTGCTGAAAAAAAGCGTGCTGTCGTTCGCTTCTCCGCTGAACATCGTGTGTCTTTTTGGAGGAAGATTGTGAATACCTTAATTGGCAAGCTAGGCTTGAAACGGACAGATGATGCTGTTAGTTTTTCTCAGCTTCATTCCATGATCAGCAGTGCATAACATAGATAATATGCAGATGTCTTTTTTTCTACTGTTGAAACCAGAGGTGTAACTTAATATGACCCCGGGATCACTGAAATGCATCGTTCAAACTGAATTGAATTAGTGCATTCACGCTTAACCTCATCCACATCCACGGTGTGATTAATTGAACCTTTCGGATTGTATATATTCTTAGTTGATTTCAAGATCAGAGTTTTGCTTCCATGAAACCCGCACGTGATCTGCGGATTAAGGTCTCTGCCCAATCATGTGAAAGTACGCCACAAGAAATTACGATGATCAGTTTGCCATAACCATGGAAGCCTGCCATGAATCCGTAGAGGGTCCTCTAACGCGGGTGCGACAATTGCAGCTAAGAGATCTTGTTACTTCTCTGGGACAACTGGCTCACATAAATAATGGAAACACTACAAGTTTAGGGATTTTGGACTCAGAGCAAGATGTGCCTCAGTGTCCAGTCAAATCTGAGTACAGGATGTCTCGAATCGCTCCAAAGCGATCAGACAGAGCAAGGATGACGATGCCTCCCAATGTCTGAGCAAAGAAGAGGATTACATTTTAGGATAACTTCAGACTTACTGGTGCGCTGAGCAGCAATGCATGAACTGAATCAACTGCTGGAAGAACACCTCTTCAAATATCTTCATTTTCATCTTCCATCGCCGCTTCTCCTTTCGGGTCGCGGAGGCAGACGTGCCAGACTGTGCTTCCAACGTTCCCGATCCTGTGCCAGAGTCTGAGCTTCGGCAAAAGACAAATGCAGTCTG